TCGGTGTCAAGATATGTCACTGTTAACTGCTCCGAGACACTACCCTACATTAAGGGTGCAATATAAGTTGCTGTTATTGGGATATGAAATGCCCTGCTGGGAGAAGTTGTTGAGGCTGAATCCATATTGCTTTCAAAAGGAAACTAGATAAATATCTTTAAAGTAGTCAGCTACAAGTATATGGAGAAAAGGGAAGAAAATGGGACTGAAAGGAGCCAGTAGAGGTACAACAATAATAATAATAATCCCTGCATTTGATATAGTGCCTCATCACATCATTGAGACATCTCAAAGTGCTTCACAGAATATACTGTAAAGTGATTGTGCATTTTGTGGGCAAAACACGGCAGCCAATTGCACACAGCAGTGTCCCACAAACAGCCGTGGATTGAGTAACAGTTTTTTTCTTTTTTTGAGTAATTATTACCCCCTGAAAGCAATCCTCCAATCGATTAACAACCGGGTTCCTACTACCTGATAGGTCCACAGAGATGTGTTGAGTAAGGAAATTTACCTAAGATTTTGTCCCCACTGAATTGAACCCGGGTCCCTTCGCTTGCGAGGCAAGCGAGCTAATTTCTGAAGAAAATTCTGGAGAAAAAAAAACTTCTCCAATCCTCTTATGAGAGAACAATGAGTTTTTTTTTAATGGGAGAGCAAAACCTTCAAGTGGATCTATTTAAATATTATCGCTTTTGAATTTTCTGAAATCACCTCAATTGTGATAAGACTTGTTTTATGACAAAATAAAATGCTGCCATATCTAAAACTGATTTATAATGCTTCAGATGGGTTAATTGTCACCAGTGCTCATTACAACATCATAGCTTGCAATTTTCAATCATATTTTTAAGGGCATTAAAATTTACCCAAGAGAACTACTGCAAGGAAATTATTCTCACTTGCTAGACTATTTTTCTTTTAAACGTCAGTCAAATTAGAATATCTTCACAATTATAAATGAAGCCAAGAATATTTTTAAAAGAAAATAAAAATGTTTCTTTGGCTCCATATTGTATCCTGAAGAATACTACTGTGTAGTAACCGAGTCAGGTAAACTTGAAATATCTTACTGACCTTATTAAAGTAGAACAAATGGAGCAAAACAAAATAGCAGATGCAGCAAAAGGGAGAGAGCCTATAGCTGTCAAAGAGATAAAAGTCAACTCTCTTGAAAGCTAAACAGTCAGTCATGGATAGCATACCAACACACGAAAAAACCTTCAAATAGATATCTGGCAACAAATTGCATTTAGAATACAATGACTTTAGACAAGTTATATGGAAGTCTGCTGCTCTAAAGAGAAATTTATGATTCAGAGACAATAAGGTTGCCAATGCACAACTGATGAAAACAGTAACTTTACTGGGGTCAAGCAACCGTGCAAGCCTGAAACAAATTCCATTTGCAGCAGAAACATCCTCTATATCACTCCTAATCACAAAGTTTCTCTGACCCAAGATCTCATTGGAGCTGACGTTTTATGAATTGGAGTGATATACAAACCCTGCTGAAAACATACCTCAAGAGATGCTCTCATCAGTTCGGTTTTCAATCGTGTTGCTTAGAAGGCTTGCGAAAGTTGGGCCACAGTTGTATTATTGGTATTCTGCACCAAAGTCAAGAGAAACCTTGTTTGGGTGCAACTTCAGAATCGGTATTTAAAAAATAGTTCTATTTGGTACAACAAAATGTTCTTTTTGCCACTGGATGTGCATGTAAACGTGTCAATCAAGATGTTCATATGCTTCTGGATCATTTTCACAATGCTGTTTCCATTAAAGTGCTAGAGCAATCGGAGTGGGGGGGAAGCTCACAGGGAATTCTGATCGATACACATTTTCCCCAAGAATACATAAACCATGACATCTCTGTGATAATATTTTCCATGGTGCTGAAAGAAGAAAATTCCATTGGTGGTACTTGGATTTCATGGATATCTGCACCCTTATTTTTTCCCCAAAGCTGAATGAATAACAATTCTTGCATTTGATACAGCGCCTTATCACATCTTCGAGACGCCTCAAAGCGCTTCACAGAATATACTGCAAAGTGAATTGACTGTATATATTGTGGGCGAATCGCGGCAGCCAACTGCACACAGCAGTGTCCCACAAATAGTCCTGGATTGAGTGACCAAATATTTTTTTTAATTTGAAGGAATTATTAAGCCGTCCAAAAGCAATCTGCCAATCGACTAACAACCAGGTTCCTACTTATTGCTAGGTAAACAGAGGCGTGTGGAGTAAGGAAACTTGACCAACGTTTCGCCCTGCCTGAGATCCACTGATTGTGACAAAAATAAATAGTATTGAAATTCATGGCACTAGTAGTCATGGATTTTTTTTTATTGCCTCTAGGCTTCCAGCAACTCAGCAATGAGTTTCATTAAATTTCATTTCCTCCCTTGACAGAGAGTTGTAGGGAAACATTCCAGCAACATTAGTGCGCCACGCCACAGCATGGGCCAATAGAAAAGTGCAGAAATGTTTCCCCAAAATTGGGTACCATTTGACAAATCCTGCAGGAATTTGAGGCGATATTAGGTGAATTTTGCAGGAAATTGCAGTCGTTTAATTGTTGCTATTGAGAGACGTATTTTGTGCAACAACCCGGATTAAAACTATTAGGCATACATTTCCTGAACATGTAGTTATATGTTTAAAATACTAAAAATGTTAATTTTAATAGTACACCACTTACCGAGAATTCATCGCAGCTCAGATTTCGCGCTCGTACCACTTCTGCGATCACAACAACTCCATGCATTGCGTATGTGCCACAGTAGCAGAGTCAAGCAAACAGCATGAGAGGCCCGGAGACCAGCACACTGTGTGTACAAGTATGTAGCGAGGGAGCAGGGGTTGTACAGGTTTGTAACGGAGGAAGGGGTGTATACAGGTTTGTAGCAGGGGAGGGCATTTGTATCGGATTCCACAGAAAAAGTGTGGCTTTGCTTTTCTATTGGCCCAGGCAATAACCCAAATACCAAATACTTAAAAAGAGGTAAATTACAGGGGTATGGGAAAAGGGCTGGTAAATGGGACTGAAAGGATTGCTCTTAAAGGAGCCAGCACAGACAAAATGAGCTGAATGGTCTTTTTCTGTGCTGCACATTTCTACAGTTTTACACTGCTAGTGTATCGTCCTTGACACATGGATCGTTCATATTCATAGAGTACAATGCTATCAGCACTCAAACCAGTTCAGGAGAAGCAGCAAAGCTGTGTCTTAGAACTGTTGTTGCTTTGCATGAAGATGAACTGAATTATATTGGTCTGTGACTGGACATAAATTTAAATAACCTGAACTTCGAATTACTATATTAAATTACTTATTTTATTTAATGCCATTTGAAGAACATATAACTAATGTTGATTTACGAATGGTAGGGTCACACCAACCCATTGCTCAATATCAGTAACAAAACACCTTATTCAGAATGTAGCAAAGGTTACAGAACATCCAGAGTAGTTACGAGATACAAAAACGACAAGGCTCAATGATTTTGCATGTGTATAAATTAACCCCGCTACAAGGTGATTTATATTGTTCATACAAATGAACGTTCCAGCATTTTAGGGGCTACAGGGTAATATGGATAATTTGTACACTGCATTATACTTGCTGAATAACTGCTTTAATGCATCAAAGGGAAAAAATAGCTTTAGTTTTGAACTGGCATAAAGAATAAAGACTTGTAAAAGTGAACTTCTGCATCGCTGGTCAGTGGAACATTGTGGGCTAGGAATCACACAAAAAAGCTATTTAAAAAAGCAGATTTCACAACTCACACAATGGAGAAGGGTTCTTTCAAAACCAACGAATTAAATAAAATTAATTCTTACATTTGGTATAGCGCCTTTCATGTCAGGAGGATATCCTAATGTGCTTCACAGGATGTACTGTAAAGTGATGTGACTGTGTGTTTTATGGGTGAATGCGACTGCTAAAGTGAACACAGCAATGTCCCACAAACAGCCATGAACACATTTTTTTCATTGGTAAATTGTTGGCCAGGAAACCAAAGAAACTCCTTTCAAATAGTGTCATCGGGATCATTAACAGTCACCTGAACAGGCAGACAGGACCTCAATTTCAATGCAACTTCTTTGCAACAGTGATCTTCAAGATTTACAGCATTTCCAACAACTGATCCAACTGTTTGAATAAGGTGGGGTCACAATGTCCAATAGATTTCTGGCACATTGTTATAATTTTCATCGAGATCAAATGACTTCAGTCCTGATGGACATCTTCAAGAAATATTAAATAGGAAGTATCTCTGGTTTTAATATGCATGCCAAGAACCTAAACCCACCCACTAACAAGAAATAACATTTGGTTCACCAAGCACATTCAATGTATAAAGAATATACTTGATAATGAACTCCTTCTGATTCATGTAACTGCCTGAGGGAAAGCTCAGCATTAACTTCTTCCCAAAAGATAATCTAGTGAAACTCGAGAAAATGTATCTCCCCTACTACTGCACAATTCAATCCTGACATTTGGTGACTTTCCTTGCTGCTAGCAAGGTTAACTTGTATTTGTTACAATTACACTTAAATAACGGTAAATCGTCATTATGAAGCTCCAGATCAGAATTCCGCTTTTTCCTTGAAACTGCATATTAGTCTCAATAGAAGATCAAGCAGAATCATTCTAATATAAATAGAGATAGGCCTAGCTTTAATTAACATATGAAAAATCTTGCTGCAGTGATGTCTAATGCCAAAAGTACACAACTGATACTTATGTAGGAAGTGTAGAATCTGATGTCAAGGATTCTTTCTGACTCGGATATCAATAGACTGGGTTCAGTTCGATTTCAACCAATGCTTTGCATGTCCATACACGGTGTTAATTGATTTTGCTGAGTCTCTTTTTTCAAAGTGTTTAGGCCATGATTTGTGTACTTTGTCATACAATAACTCAAGGATCATTCCACTCTTGCTACAAATCAACTTGGGCTCGAGGACAGTAAATAATTCTGTACCTGTCCTGTATAGGCAAAATCAAGAGCTTGTTTCAAACCCAGGCTGGTCACTCCATGGAGGCTTACTTCCTCAGCAACACTCTCCACCATGCAAAGGCTAAACATGGCCTGGGAATACAAAAAGACAAGGGAAAATAATCAAACTTTTTCAACTAAATCATAGCAATAACAACAACAACTTGCATTTATACAGCATCCTTCATGTGAGGTAGTCTCTTGGAGCTTTTAATAATAGCGGAGCTTGACAATGAGCCAGGGAGAAGGGGGAGCTGACCGTAGGCATGCTCGAAAAGAAAGGTTTTCAGGTGTGATCAGGTCTGAAGGAGACAAGGCAGAAGGATTGAGGCAGAGGCTTCTATAGTTTTGGGGTACAGTTGCTGAAAGCACAGTGAAGCAGGGGACGAGGGACATGCAGGAGGACAGAACCAGGTGAGCGAATGCAGCGGGCAGTGGTGTTGGATACAAGCAGGTCAGTGAGGTACACAGGTGTCAGGGGATGAACTGATTTGGACACGACTGTGAGTATCTAGAAATTGATCTATTCTGCAACTGGGAGCCAGTGGGGTCTGGCAAGGACTGGGGTGATGGGGATAGAGTTTGGTGCGGATGAAGATACAGATGGCGGAGTTTTGAATTAATTGGATTTTATAGATGGTGGAGCTGGGGAGACCGGTGAGGAGGGCATTGGAAGAATCGTGTGGGAGGTAACAAATGTGTGGATGAGGGTTTCAGCTGCATTGGGTGTGAAGTATGGTCAGAGGCGAGCAATGTGGGCAACATAGAGGAAAGAGCTCCTGGTCAGGGAGCTCTTCGGCAGGAAGGCGATCAAATTGGATGCCTAGGTAACCACAGGTTTAGTAAGTCCTATGGATAGCCCGCGGAGGTTAAGGAGGTCAGAGCTGCAGGAGAGAAGACGTTGATGAGAGCAAATAAGTACGGTTTCTGTCTCGTCAACGTTCAGCTTCAGAAAGTTGCCGCTCATCCAGACCTTGATGTCTGACAAACAGGCTGACAGAACATCAGTGGACCTGGAGTTGCAGCTGGAGGAGTAGAAGATTTTGGTGTCCACATACATGCAGAAGTTGACCCCACCTCAATGACTGACCCTGTAGATGAGAAAAGCGGGGCCAATGATTGAGCCTTGGGGAATGCTGCAGGTGAATGGGCGGGGGAGGGAGGAAAAATTTTTGAGGAGACGAAGCGATGGCAGGAGGGTTATAGCGAACTCAACCAGGCAAGAGCAGTCCCACAAAGATGGATAAGGGAACAGAGACAGTGGAAGAGGATGGTATGATCAACCATGTGTAGTGGGATGCATGGATACCTTGATTCAGTTTAGATACTCTTAAGCATGGTGATGGGTTTATACATGTGTCAGACACCCGCCTGATCATGAACAAATAAGGGAATTATAGATTCAAGATTATTAAAATAATAAATACATTTGATATAGCACCTTATCACATCATTGAGACGTTGCAAGGTATTATAATAGAGGGCACAAGCTATAAACCAGAACAATTTAAGGAGCATACAATTCATCAAACTGTTTTTTTAAAAAACAATCTTTGAAGCCTTCACTTTTCAAATCCAAAATTGCTTAATCGGATTTCAAATCACATTTATCAGATCATTAAAATTAACAGTCGGAACATGATCAAAAATTATTTGGATGTAGAAAAGACGATGAATAGACTGTGCAAAAATAGCTTACTTACTGTCATTGAGTAACACTGAGCTCATCTCTCACAATGCTCAATATATCAGAACTTCACATTTCCAACAGCACATGAAGTTCAGTAAGCAATGAAAGGTAGTTATTTATCAAATGTCATCCTTTTGGCGTAAATACCAGCAATACCTGAACTGATTTTAATGAGAGTCCCGGGTGATCTTATGATCAGTGTAAAAGACTGCTTAAAGGAATATGCACAGCCACCAACGTACAAACAGCTGTGGAAGGACAGCTGACATTTGTCAAAGATATATCGAACTGTGAAAATGCAGTACTGCTCCAGACATCCTGCATCTCTTGTTTGAATCAGCTAGGACCCCTGGTATAATTCCCTCAGCAGGTGAATTGCTTAACGGTTTAGGCTCACATTTTTTCTGTGTTTCTACTCTTCCCTGCAGTTTGACTGGAATTAATTCATCTTCAGCATAATTAATTTTACCATAAATAAAAGGACGCTTTGGGCTTCTTCTAGTTTGCCATTCAATGAATATGTATAAGCACAAAGAAGAGACGTTGGGTCTCAGTAAAGAATATAAATGCTGAGAATCACGAGTGTATAAAGATGTTCCATTTAGGGAAAAGAGCATTGCTCAATCAAGGAAGCTGTAAACAACTGGAAAGACATAACAGAAACAGTTCATTTACCAATGTATGAAGCTTACTCATGTGAAAAGATCTGTTTTATTGCACAGATAGCTATGCTAATTACATTTCATAGAATCATATTTCCAAGTAGTAGAGTGAAATTTGAAAATTCCAATTCTGGGTACACTCTCGAAGGTTCCACAGTAAAACTGTGGACAGATTCACAATAAACCTCCAGCGTTTTGTGGTGGAACAGGAAAGATTTTGTGGTGGAATAAGAAAGTAATTAGCTGCTCAAATATGCTCATCAGTTTTATTCCTTTACAGCCTCCACAAACAAATAAAATTACCCCAGGTCACAAATCCATTGAATCACATCTGCAAAATCCAAAATTCAGTGTTTGAAATTACATTGAACTGCCTTCCACATGAAACACAGCATTCTCTAAATAATATTCCTGATCAGTTGGTTGAAACGTCACAAAGCGTCTTCATAGGATTTGCTGTAAAGAGTAGTGAATGCATATTTTGTAGACAAAAGGGACAGTCAATTTGCTCACAGCTATGTCCTACAGACAGCTATGAAGTGAATAACTGATAGTGGAGTCCTTGTAGTTCAGTGGTTAGAGCACTGGTCTCGCAAATAAGCGACATGGGTTTGATTCTTGGCAGGGCGAAATGTTGGGCAAGTTTCCTTACTCCACACGCCTCAGGTTACCTAGAAGTAAGTAGGAACCCAGTTGTTAGTTGATTGGCAGATCACTTTCCGGGAGTAATAATTCCTTCAAAAAAATAATATTAATAAATTAGTCACTCAATTGTTTGTAGGAGACTACTGTGCCAATTGGCTGTAGCATTTCACCCACAAAATATAGTCAATTCACTTCACAGTATATTACATTGAAGCGCTTTGAGATGTCTTGAAGATGTGATAAGGCACTATATCAAATGCAAGGATTATTATTATTTCAGGGATCATTAGCCAGGACACAGGGAGAAAATCTCTTCTCTTTACGAATAGTGTTGTGCGATCTTTAAAGTCCATATGAACATGCAGTCAAGACCTTGGATTAAAATCTTATCTGATGGGTAGCACCTCCAACAATGCAGCACTTCTCAAGCACTGCATTGGATAGCTCACTCTGTCAGCTCAAATTCCCGACATGGGACTTGAACCCACAATCATCTGACTCAAAGGCAAGAGTGCTACCCACTGAGCCAGGCTGACATCTTATTCTGTTCGACCCACTTCACCCCTCCCAGATTTGCTGTAAATAGCCAAAAAAAAGTTTTCATTGCCTAGCTACTCACTATGCTACCATGTTGATTCCTATATTAGGGAAAGATGAATATCTGATACAATAAGCCTTAACCAGTCTCTAAAGTTCTGAGAAGGCAACCTATACTGTTGAAACTTTATTTGGTGATGCCTGAAGGAGCCTAAAAACAAACTTGTAGATTTTGACGTTAGGTGAACCTACTGTGCTAGCAGTCTGTTACTGGCTAAACCTCCCAACGCCCTTCACACACTACTGGTCCTTCTAAACCAAGCTTTGTTCAAATGGGTTCAAGACTGAGGTTTCTATCACAGGCTATGTTTCAAATGACACATCTTTGTTGGAGTACAACGTTGGAGCTTCTCCACGACTATTTCCGAAATTCTGTCCAGCACCTCGGGACGTACTCTGCCGCCCGCATTCTTACCCGCATCAAACTCCGCTCCCCGATAACGCCAGTCCTTGCCAGACTGCACTGGCTGCCTGTCCCTGAGAGGATCGACTTCAATATCCTCATCCTGGTCTTCAAATCCCTCCACTCCTCTGCACACCCCTACCTCTCTGACCTCCTCTCGACAGTGCCTGTTGCCTTCACTCCACAGGGTCTGGCCTCCTCCTTGTCCACAGAATCCTCCACTCCACCATCGGCGGCCGTGCCTTCAGCCACTATGCCTCGAGGCTCTGGAACTCCCTTCCTCACTCCCTTCGCCTCGCCCCCTTCTCTTCCTATTTTCAGGCCTCGGCTGAAGACTTTTCTTTTTGACCGCGCCTTTGGTCACCTTCCTCCCCCTCCCCCTGGCTCGGCCCCGGGATCCGTTACTGTGAAGCGCTTGTTGTTATTGTTGTCCTCCCAACATGAAAGGTGCTATACAAATGTCATTTAGTTGTTATTGTTGTTGTTTGTGGGACACTCACCCACAAAATATACAGTCAATTCACTTTACAGTATATTTTGTGAGGCGTCTCAAAGATCTGATAAGGCTCTATATCAAATGCAAGGATTATTTATTATTTTACATGTTAATGGTCTGATAATCTACCTGCCTAATATTATCCATTAGAAACATTACATTTACTTTTAAAATCAGAAATCATTGTCAAGGAATGGCAATATGTAAGCCATGGTTCATGATGGATCTCACAGGACCATATAATCACAATCAACAATCACAGAAAATAGCAAAAGCCTAGAATTATCAACTTCAAAACACCCGGAATGATTTTGAAGAGATTCGATAGTGGAAAGTGTTCGAGATGTTATATTATCTCAACTTCCAAAAGGATTTTGACAAAGGTTCAACACAAGAGACTCTTTTACAAACTGATGCCAGAATGTACTAAGCGTAAGAATGTGGAACTGGATTAGTAATTGGCTAAAACGACAGAAGGAGCTATGTAAGGTTACAATTGGGGAGGGGGCAGGGAAAGAGGGTTGGATTGCCTCAGGGACCGTTTCTTGACCCCCCCCCCCCCCCCCCCGCGGCTCCATGCCACACAAACAAATAGATTTG